AAATCGGTGTTCGTTTGATTATTTTCTGAGCACGAAATCAAGATTTATCGAGGAATTTTCGCGACAAATGGTATCAGAGCTTGTGTTGTTGATAAATTTGTGATTTTTGGGGCTTAAAAGGGGCTGGAAGTGGTCAGAAATCGATCTCGAAAATAGGCAGAAAATTGGATAGAATTCTAGCAGATTTTTTAAAAACTGGACAGATGTGTTTTGTTGTTTTCCGGCCAAACCAATTGCCATTTGGAGAAATAGACACCACCATTAGACTGTGCAGGTGGAGAAGAAGCCGGAAGGGTGACAGGTCGTCGGAGTCGCCTGCGCCCGCCTACGAGGCGCGTGGGGACGCGTCAACCGGAATCTGGAGATGGTGTCTTTAGACAGAATGTTGCTGGTGACGATACGGACCCTGCGGTGTTGTCGGATTTCAGTTTTGAGCAATGCGGTGAAAGTTGGACAATTTTGCCCTTGGACATTCGGGTGTTAGGTGCTGTTTTCGTGTTGTTGTGGTTGCTGGTGACTTTAGGATGAATAGTGATAGTCCTAAAATGGTGAATTCGCATTTCTTGATATTTACGGACCTTTAGACGTGGTCCGCTCGATATCGTATTCTTTGTCTTTTATTATTGCAGTTAAAATTAATGTGTAAGTTAATTATTTATTTTTCACATTAGAAGTCATCGTGTGGGGTGATGTTAGATTTGGGGTAACCATTGCTTGTTGCTAGACCTAGAAATTACATGTTAACTAATTGCCTTAAATTCTATGTGAATTTGTCACCAATTTTTTCTACACCAATAAAATTACATGTGACCTTAGGAAAGTTTACTTGACTATTCTGTGTGAATTATGTGTCAGTACTTTGCTTATGGTCATTATTTGATATTGTTGGCATGTATAGGTCTAAGGCAAGTGTGAAAAATAAAATATGTTTTAACTGTGGTAGACATAGTTGAAAGAGATTGTTCTAGGATGATAATAAAAGGAAAGATGCGGATAGAGATGATGCGAATGTGACTTTAGGGTCGAGTAGTGATCCTAGTGAGGTTTTATTGAGAGAATAAACCTGGTTACCACATTGCATCTGTGTGTAATCATTTCTGCATGTATATGGTCACTTAATTTTATTGCAATGTTGATGTTACACATTCAATATGTTTGATGATGTGTGTAATTGCATGAATTGAGGGTGATCTTATTACTTTGTGTAATATGTTTACATGCATAGTGGGTTGAGTTTTATGACGTACTCTGTTTGCTCTGTGAGTGGTGTGAGGGTGTGGTAGTGAGAAGAAAGTTGGGTAGTCGTTTCACTCCTTTATCTTTGTTTGTGTGGTTTGTGAGATTATGGGAGGCGATCATGTTAGGGTTACCTTCTTTCTCTTTGTGAGTCTCTTTTATGAGTGCAGTGGAGTAACCGACTCTTTTTTCGATTCTCTTTGAGAGTGCCGTCTTCATTATTTTCTTGGTGGATTTTTTGAAGCATTGGTGAGTGGGTTGGCCTTTGAGGTCACTGAAAAGTGAGTTTGAGATGCATTAGCAATGAGTTGGATGTCTTTTGGTAAGGTGGAGTATAGATACCTAGAGGTGCATTGGTGATACGCATGGGGGATATGGAGTGTGACATTTGGATCACGAATGGAGATGTGATCAAATGTGTAGAATCCTTTATTTGTGAAAGAGACCCTGGTCAGGTGGAGTGTGAGAGAGATACTTCTATCACTTCTGTAAGATGGAGTCTCATTATGCACGTAGGTTGTGAGAAGTGATGTGGTGATAGAGGATTATCCCGAAAGCTTAGGATCTATTGTGACTTGCTAGTTAAACATGAGTTGAGTGATTGATTTAGTGAGCATTGTGGGCGATGAGAGGAGATATATATTCTCGAGGTGGGAGTAACACGTAATGAGATAGGATAAGTGTGGTGAGATCTTTCATGGGGTCATTTATGCATTTGTTGTATATGTGCGTGACCGTGTGTTGATTAACTATGTGTTAATATGTGGTTCTGTGTGAACATGATTTTGAAAAGATCTGTGTGTGTTATCCTATATACCTTCATCGCATGATTGTTTGTTCACTGTGAATACTTGTTTCTACTTGAGTTGAACAAGTATGGTATGTGTGTTTCGGTTTGAAACACGAGGTAATGTCTGAGATACCAATTTTATTGGATTATCTTGATTGTGCAAGTTTAAACTTTGTATTTTGATTACTTACAGATTATTGGGCATCAAGGTAGAGATTATTGGGTTTTTTGATACCCAATAATCCCGAGCGATGATGTAAAATAGTTGTCGAATTATTTATCGACGCCATGGACTTGGCTTGACTCAGAGACGAACTACATTTTTGGATGGTTTGGGTTTAGGTTGGATGATTATTTGGTTAGTTGGATCATTTAGTGATTAATATGGAGTTGAAAATTGACCCATTAGTTTAGGTTAAATGGCAGTCCACTTAGAGATCTCTTGGCCTATATTTGGTGATCTAAACTAACATATATATATGTATCTATCTCTCAGCTGTTTTGGTGTGTGTGTTGTAGCAATGGAGAGGAGAGTTGAGAGAAGAGAGGTAGCCGAGAGAGAGGGAAGCCATGTGAGGTTGTGAGTGAGATTCAACTATTGTGATATCTTCTTCTTCCTCTCCATACCTTTGTGGATTGCTAACACCACCACCATTCTCCTTTGTGGGGTTAGAGAGAAAGAGAGCAGCTCAAAGTGAAGGTAAAAGTCTCAGGTTGAGCCGAGGTAAAACGGTGTTCGTTTGCTTATTTTCTGAGCTCGAAATCAAGATTTATCGAGAGATTTTTGCGACACTATAATATTTAATATGGAAATGAGATTGCTAATGAGGTAGGCGAATTTACAGTTCTTCAAAGATTTCTAGTAATACCTCATCAAATACCATACAATAAATTGCAAAAATTATGACATTTGATGCAAAACTCCCACACAAATATACTGACTAGTAGTGTAAAGTTTCTTTTTGTTTTCGTTTTAATTATATAAGTGTAAGAGCAAGAAATTTATTTACTTGGAAAATTGATGAGTTTCGCAAATGTATCTTGATCTACGAAATTACAAGAGGAAAGAGATTGTAAATTGGTGAAAATGTGCATTTTGTAGCACGAAGGTTTTTCTTTTTCTTTATATAGTGTGAAGAAAATAGATTTTCAGAGAAGCTAATTTACTATAGGTCGTGAAATATATACACCTTCTACCACATTACAAAAAATATCAACTGCACAATTTATCTTTATGGTAGATGATGTCTTGACTACACAATAATGTGGACCGACCGCTTGACATGATATCCCCATCGAATGATATTATCTTTTCCGCGTGATAGATATATGGGACAACATAATAATGTTGATATTTCTACAAATATTTAAAACTAATTAATAAATAAAGTGATGCATTCTTTATATATACACTTGAACTATATATGTTGACCCCGGAAATTGGTCCTTCCCCGTGGCCAACTGAAAGCTACTCCACGTGTTCTTCCCTGCGCACAATCAGCGAATAGTCAGGCGCACACGGTCGGAACCAGCGGGGGTGGTGGCGATCATATACACTCCGACGGTCAAGTCAGGTTTAAGTGATCGAAACAGTACCCAGGGGCTATGCAAATCAATAATAAAGGGGGAGGAGAAAATATATAAACTTGCTATGAAGTACTATGTAGTAAGAGTTTCATTTTTTTTTGTTTCTTGCCAACCCTTGGGTATTTATAGGTGGTATGAACCGTTGGATGTGGAACGCGTGTATACATTTGATGGTATGAAGCGTCCGCTCATAGGTATCAATCAGTCGCATTTATAGAGTGGGCGGACAGTTTGTTTCTTCTGAGTTGAATTGACATAAAGTTGATAAGTCACATCAACTAGCCTCATGGAGACGTCAAATCAATTTAAACCTTAGGTGCAGGACAAGTCTCAAATTGGCGACGGATCTTCTAACTGGGGTCCACTTGATCTCGACCTCGGAGGCGAGATGTTTCGGCAGGTCAGTAGTAGGGATCGCTATATCACTTCGGAGACACTTCGAAAGGGTCGTTTTCAGGTCGGAATATGTGGTGCTGCGAGTCCGAGGCGTGTAAGATCGGAGCGTAACAATATACATATTTTTCAAATTTTCAGCAGAAACATATTGCTCAAATCATAAATATTATAATTACTTGGTAATAAATTTCTACAAATAAATTAGACACAAACACAAATTAAAAAGCCCTAAATTTTATCTTAATTGTTTATCGAATTCCAATTCAATATCATCTTCCGTGTCATTTGGTACAAAATCATCTTCATTGGTGGACGCCCTTATTTCAACTTAGGAATTTCTATTACCTCTTATAAACGGTAAGATATCATTGTCAACCTCCTCTTCCCATCATAATTATCAACAATTTAAGATTGTGCATTATTATCATCACTTGCTAGTAAACTTAAAGGAAGATTGAAGAAGGAGGCTAGGATCGACGTAGATAGTTTGCAACTATGAAAATTTGATTTTGATTTTTCTAAATATCAAAATCCTACATAGTGCTATCTATAATTCATGGGGGTGAATTATTTGAGCTAATTTGAGCTATGTTTGACAACCCTTCTTTAAAAAATATTTAATTTTTATATTTATTTTTAACCACACATTTATAGAAAAAAATATTTTACACGTAAACCCAAATATTTTTCTACTTTTAACCATACATTCTCTAAAAGTTCACTATTGAAAATTTCATTTTCTCAAAATAATGGTCATCAAACAAATGCTTGATGTTTGTTGTGGCTAAATTTATATTTTTTAAGTTATAAAAATAAGTTAAGACTTTGCTTTGTAAATTTTGACACAATTTTTTACACAAATCATTGCATTTTGGTGTTCAAGCATGCACATATCAGGCACACACTCCACATGCCCGGCATTTCAAAAATACTTCGAGCATACTTGAGAGCACTAGTCATATATTTATTTTAAAAATTATTTATTTAAACTAACGATAAGGATAAGGGCCGAAGATCCCTTAAAGACTGCCTATGGTTGAAAATGAAACACAGAAGCAAACAGAGCAAGAAATAAGTAATCCCATCAATCTCTCAATTCTTCCAATGACGAGCACCGTTAAAGTGTACGGACCACCAAATTCCGCCGCCGTATCAAGGGTTCTGGCCTGCCTTCTTGAGAAAGATGTCCAGTTTCAACTCATCCCCATCAATTTGGTCAGAGGCGAACAGAAAAAACCTGATTACCTCAAACTTCAGGTAAAATTTATGCATTTATTGAATTAATTTGGTGCATTTCTCTTTGTTTATGCAAGGTAAATTTTATGGGTTTTATATTTCTTGAAATTTTGGACAGCCATTTGGGCAAGTACCAGTGTTTCAAGATGAGAGCATTACACTGTTTGGTAATTCATACATACTTTTGAATTTTTCATTATTTCCTAAGTAAAAATGATTTATATATTCTGTTGTTTATTCAAGTTTATGATAATCTCTCGTGTTTTGAAATTTGCTAATGGAAATTTTAGAATTTAGGGATTTGTCGTAGTTTATTTTGAAATGAAAATGGCTTCCCTCAGGACTGTTTGGAGCATGGGAGTAAATTTAACCAATAATCACTAAACTTTACACTTGGTTACTACTTGCTCACTCATTTTTCACAGATTACTGAATGCTCACTCATCTTTTCATGTAATTACTCATTTACCACTCGTCTCTTCAAATAATTGGATGACTTTTGCGGCAACTTTTCGACAACTTCCGACCACAAAGAATGTCGAATTTTGATACCGTTAGGAAGCCCACGATGTCCTCTTCAATTACCACCCAAAATCTCATTATAACTCCAAGGGATTCGGTCGAAAAATTGCCTTAAAAGGCGCCCAAAAATTCTAAAAATCTGCCTAGATTTTCAGATTTTTTGGGTGACTTTTAAGGCAATTTTTCGGCAACTTTCGACCATCAAAACTATCGAATTTTGATACCATTGGAAAGGCCACAATGTCCTCTTCAATTACCACCCAAAATTTCCCCATAACTCCAAAGGATTCGGTCGGAATAAACCCACAAAGTCAGCATCCCGAAATTTGTCCAGATTTTCGCCTTTTCGAGATGTTGGCTTTGTGGGTTTATTCCGACCGAATCCTTGGGAGTTATGGGGAAATTTTGGATAATAATTGAAGAGGACATTGTGGGCTTTCTAATGGTATCAAAATTCAATAGTTTTGATGGTCGAAAGTTGCCGAAAAATTGCCTTAAAAGTCGCCCAAAAAATCTGAAAATCTGGACAGATTTTTAGAATTTTTGGGCAACTTTTAAGGCAATTTTCCGATCGAATCCCTTGGAGTTATAATGAGATTTTTGGTGGTAATTGAAGAGGACATCGTGAGCTTTCCAACGGTATCAAAATTCGACATTCTTTGTGGTCGGAAGTTGTCGAAAATTTGCCGCAAAAGTCGCCCAATTATTTGAAGAGACGAATGGTGAATGAGTAATTATATGAAAAGATGAGTGAGCATTCAGTAACCTGTGAAAAATGAGTGAGCAAGTAGTAACCAAATGTAAAGTTCAGTGATTATTGGTTAAATTTACTCGCATGTTTAGTATGGGAAATCCAGCTATATTGTAGCTTCAGTCCCCAGTCTTTACCCTCTTTTGCATTTCTGTTAGACACCCGTACTCCTTATTGACAGTTTCCGTCCAAAAATATGTTAAACTGGTGTTAAAAGAACGACCATGTTCTGAACTTGAACGAGCAAAAAAGCAGAGAGTATACTTCATCTTCTACGTCTGAAAAATGGGATGTGGGGACAATAATTATTGAATTTGGATCTTCATTTGTTCTCTTTCATGTCTTTGATGAAACCAGAATCCAGAGCCATATGTAGATATGTTTGTGATAAGTATGCAAATCAAGGAAACAAGAGACTGTTTGGTACAAACCCATTAGAGAAGGCGTCAATTGATCAATGGTTAGAGGTAGAAGGCCAAAACTTTTATCCACCAACCTCTGTTCTTGTGTTCCAACTAGCTTTTGTGCCGAGGATGAAGATCCAGCAAGACGAGAATTTGATCAAGCAAAATGAAGAGAAGCTTGGGAAAGTGCTTGATGTGTATGAGAACAGGCTTGGTGAGAGTCGATATTTAGCTGGCGATGAATTCACATTGGCTGACCTTTCTCACCTGCCTATGTCACGGTACTTGGTGAATGCATGTGGTAGAGGGGAACTCTTCACTTCGAGGAAGAATGTTGGGAGGTGGTGGGATGAGATTTCAACCCGAGAGACTTGGAAGAAGGTTAATGAGATGCAGAACTCACAGCCCCGACAGAATGCTTGAAATTTGGTTTGTTTTGTGAGTAGTGGTCTATTTGTGATGTGCATTGTTATCTCATTTGCTTCTTAGACGGCATTATAAAAATTGTATTCGTGTACTGTTGTCAAACCCATCTTTGCACCCTGTATGTTAAATATCATCCCTACTCTCTCCCGGTTTTTCCCCATAGCACCGTCCACTAGAATTCTACTAGTCAAATCAACGTAGTTAAAAGTAAATGTTAATTAAACAAGGAAGTCCATTTGAGGATGGATCTTCTCTTAAATTCATGTAAGAAAAGTAAATGAAAGAAAGATGCCAACATGCAATTTAGCCTAGAATTTTAAGTGTACCGTTGACCAGTTTTTGGTGATTCCGCGAGAATAGAGATTTCATCTAGTTTGTCAGACCGCTTCTTCTCTACTTACTTTGACACTATGTCATACCTCAGGCCTCACTAGAATTGCTACGATTATCCATATCCCTATGCTCCCATCTTATTCTTCCTCTTGCAATTTTTTATTTTTATTTTTTTAGGTGCATTTTATTCCCTATGTTGTTTCAAGGGCTTCTCAA